CATTTTGCTTTACCTTCTTTTTCCATACGTACATCTTCTCATGGAAAAAGCAAATAGTCATGTGAACGCAAATCACCTTTTTCGGCTAAAATAACTATATTTTTCACACTTTTGTCTTAATTTCAAATTCCCATCTTCCGCTTTTCTTTCTGAAAAAGGGAGATATCGATGAAGACCTTTTTTGGGCCTTTCCAAGCTGAATTTCCACACTTCTGCGATTTTTGACGCATTAAAGGTATAAGTTTTGTGCAATGCATCATGGTTTGATCAATTCCTGAACTCGCAGGTCTAATACTAGATTTGAAGTGGGTGTGAAGGCCGCTTTGGGCGAAAATGCGTATTTTTCGAATTTGCGGGCAAGTACCAAAAAATCCGCATTTTTCGCCAAAATCGGCCCACAGACCCGTTAGGGCTACCTAAAGATAGGAATTGACCAAAACATGAGGCATCCCGTAAAATTTAGACCTACAATGAGCAAAAAATCGTAAAATGAAGAAATTCAGCTAGTTTGGACCAAAATCGGCTCTTATCGATACCTCTCACCCCTCCTCTCCTCTCGTGCCGCCGAGGGTTCACCTTGAATTTTCCAAAATTCTACCGTTGATATTTCTCCGTGTCAATTTCACTAGCATGAAAGTACAGCCAGGTTACACTTACCTTGGATTTGGCCAGCGTTCGCACAAGTTGGTCATCGGCTGGTGAAGAAGGGTCTGTTTCTCGAGGCGCGGGCGAGCAATGACTCCGTGTTGGAGAGCATCTACGGTGTCCTGTTCTCTGATTTCATCGGCAGTGCTTTTGTCTGGTGGCTCACTGCCGTGACGCGATTTGCTAGAACGATTATTTCCCGAGCACATCTAGCTGTTACGCTGCTCTGGTTACCCTATCATGTTAAGAAACTGGTTCGGATCTAGACTTTTCTTTAAGTCTAAACTGCACGTATTTCTCCAGATTATTCTGAGTTTAAGGATGTTTTAGCATAGTGGGATTACTGACTTATCAGTAACACTATGGATACCGCACTTAAAAACCGTGTTACTGTGAGGACAATAATTTTATTGGGTTTCTTTTTCATATTCCTTAATGGAAATTTGATGTATTGTTGACCAGGGTGGTAAAACAGTGCTGGGTTAGTATCCCAATACACCCGCCTGAGCTGAACACACTTTCCCCTCAGTCTTGTGCTCACTGATACTCAGTAGGGCTCAATTTTTTACTCTAATTGAAATTTTCCAACTTTTTGGCCGTTCTTTTACCGCACAATAGTGTGAACCCAGCACTATTTTGCCACATTTTTTAGTATTTTTTTTTCTTGTATTGTCAAACTATGCAAAATCACCATTAACATGAATGTGGAGAACATGCATGCAGAAACATCCATCAATTAATGATCGACATCCTGGCCTGATGAAGCCGTACAAGTCAAAACCAATTTTTTTGCTAACAGGATCCACCTCAATATCCGACAATTTCTTAACTTTTGTTGGGTAGGTGATTCTTTCAATTCCCTAAATTGAAGCTCTTTGGGAAAAAAACACATTGGATCTAGAGTCCAGACTCTTGAAAACATTGACAAGAAAAAAACACTTTTGATTTAATCAGATCTTAAATGAAGATTGATGATCTTAATGAAGCTTAAATCAAAAGGAAATCCGCTCAAATTAAGAGGATGGGTTCTTGAATTAAGCTTAAATCCGATTGAATCAAGAGTATTTTTTCTTGTCGATGTTTTTAAGAGTCTGGACTCTAAGATCCAATGTGTTATTTTTTTCCAGTGCTCCTCAGTACTACCAGCAGGTTTAAATGTCTTGGTTTCCGAATCAGAAAATTACGTAACTTTTGCACTCTGGTGGTTAGGTGATTCCTCCAATTTGCTAAATTGGAGCCCGCTTCAATTGCCGCGAATAAATGGTTCGCCTCCGTTTCCCACGATCGGGAAATGCGCATTAAGGAATAAGAAGCCGTGTTGTGCATGCACGCATTGACCGCTCCTATTTTAAGCTGCACCGACCCCTCCTCCCCCCCCCCTCCCACATTCTGGAAGAGACGGGAAGTTGCAGTAGGCTCGCGTGCAGTGCAGTGTCTATGCAATTACTCAAGATCCTAATTCGACAGTACTTACATAGCCACGCCACCGTCGCCACACGCTGCCGTCAAGTTTCTTGGACTTTTCCGATGAATTTCCCAAAAAACGTGTCCTTTTTTAAAGTAATTTTCCGTAATTTTCAAAATATTTCAGGGAGGGACAGTCATTTCCGAACGGTCCATTCTACGAAACGTTTTTGCGTTTTCCAAAGCGAATACATGAAAATGTATACATCATCCTAAAAAATCATCGAATATACAGATGGCCAAAGGGCGGTACGACGTATTCCGTTTGGAACGGTGTAGACTTCCTTTGATACTTCATTTTTACTTTTGAAAATTAGTCAAATTAATTTCTTGGAAACTTCCTTGATCTTTCTTCTTCATCGGCAGAATATTCCGTAGAGACGTCAAGTTATATAGTTAACTTGTTTTTCCTCGACATAAAATAGAATAGGAGCAGAGATCCTGGAACACCACAATGGAGATACTTGGTTTCACACCTTAGCCATCGAAATCTTCCTCAATAGGTATCTGAAGTATCCTGTCTCTACCCAATTATTTGCGGTTTATCGTAGTTCGTCTCACAAATGGACCGCGCCAAGTAGAAAGGAACCAAGCCTCATCAGCTAATGCCGAATTTATTTCGGCAATTTATAGGTTTACACTTAAAAACAGTTTTGCGGATTTTTGTGCGAATCTCGGTGAATTATTTTCTGCACAGTGCGAAGCAAAGTCCCTTAGATGTTCAAAGGAATCCACCAAAACGATCTATTGTGAAAAATTAAATTGTCCAGTTAAATTTGGCAACAGCTGATGTGGCTTGGTTCCTTTCTGCTAAACGCGGACCAAACGAAAACGATGCATACGTCTTTCTTATATGGACGTATTTCTATCAAACGGACTTAAGCGCCATAGGGTGAGGAAGGTAGAGGGGGGCTTGGATTGGCGGCGGAATCGGGCGTCCGGCTTATTCCGTCCCATACTCGCAATGCTTTTCCATGGCGCTTAGTTCCGTTTGATAGAACGCGCTATCCGGGATTCTAAATTCCTCTAAAGGAACTCAAATTGGCGCTTAGTTCCGTTTGATAGAATTACGTCCATATGAGTCCAGTTCTAAGAACTTGACTAAACCCTCAGCATTGAAGTTTCTAACGATCGAAAGACGGCATCATCATCCGTGTTTTTGGTGTCTGTAACGTGACCGGAAGCCCCATGCGCTGAAATAAGGAACCCGCGGGACATAAAAACGGACCTCAGCACTTCCCAGGAACCACCCCTCTGCCCTCTCCTCCTCGGTACGCACAGTGTCTGACCCCGCGACCTCACTTCCGCAAAGCACCCGCAACTTTCAAGTATACTCGACCACGTTACGCCCATTATGCGTTATGCCCCCTCGAAATTCCTTAAAATCAGCTAATTTTTGCGTCCCCTCAAACCCCGAGACAAGCAGCTCATCAATAGCTCCCTCGGTTGGTGTTAGGTGTACCGCTGCACTAAGGCAAAACACCGTATAAAAATTTACGCGTTGCCAAATTTCCCCTTTTAATAATTGTGTTTTGGAAGGAAGCTATGCATATTTTTCCTCGAAACTTTCAGGTATTTTATATTAAATTGTGGACAGAATTTTCCAAAAAATGTGATGAAAAAGATTCACAACTTTCTTAATATATCCGTGTTTTATCAAAGGAAATTTGGCAACTTCTGAAGGTTCATACGGCGTTTTTCCTTAGCACGGAAGCGTAGTCGTGTCATCAGCGCCGCTGCATTTCCGGTCGCGTGCGCGTGCGTAATGCGGGGTTGTCAAATCTGACTTCGAATCCCGCAGAGTTGACGTTATTCTTTTTCCATCTCCTCTGGGGATGAGCGATGGCGCGTGAAGGGCGGATGGATGCTCTTTTCGCGGTATCATAAGAATTCTTAAGGGCTGCGACCCTCGAGTCTCCAGTCCCTCTGACGCGCTGCCGCCGTATCGGTCCACTTCATCACGCACTTGCTCGCCTTCGCATGAGCCTCACGATAATGAATCAGCCCAAACAATCCCTATCTCAATGATGGTTGATCTCAATATTGCATATCCCAAAAAATGAAGGCTCCTCAACTTCCCTCCCAATGACGTAGCGCGCGCAGGACTCTCGAGGCGCGACGCACAGTGGATCGAGCCAATTAGAGAGGTCGGACATGAAATTTTTGACTAAAACTGCAAATTTTTATATTTATTCCGTCACATTTTAAAGTTCGAGGGGTGCTTGTAGAAGGAAATTTTACGAGGAAACCAATGTAACCAATTTTAGAACCTCAAAATTTTGTGTAAACGGAGTTTTGAGCTTTTGAAGTTTCCAAATTTTGTCCGACTTCCCCTACTGATTCGGCCCATTGTGCGACGTACCTCACTGAATTGCTAACAAGACTTTGTTACTAAAGAAGTGAGAGGAGAACATTTGCTCCTCATGATGAGTTGTACATAACGCGTTGAACGAGATACCCGATATGCGTGACGCCGTGACGCGTGACAAGTTCAGCAAGATAGCTGAACTACGCTTATTTGTTGGAAAAAATTGCTAGGCAATAGAATATTTGAGGGGCTTGGAGGACAAGACGCACAAGCATTCTTGAAAAAATTGAGATGTTGATGAATCCAAGTCAAACTTGTCCTAATAATGCATATTCTGCGAGAAATTTGCTCCCAAATTCCAATTTTTAAGCATCAAAAAGTCAGTTTGAACTCTCTTTCCGCCATAAAGATCCATGCAATTTCGAAACTTCTAGCACGCATTTCTCGAAGTAGCAAAAACTGCACTTATGCGCCTTGTCCTCCAAACCCCTCATTTATAATTGCCACAAGCGGATCCAGACTTTTCCAACCGGGGGGGGGGGGGGGGGGG